ATCAGTTGGTGGAAGGTTTTGTTTTTTGTAGGACTGGGGTTTAAACTCAAGGCTTCAAGCTTGCAAAGAGGGCGCTCTACTGCTTGAGCCATACCTCCAGTCCCTTTTGCTGTGGTTATTTTGGAGACAGGATCTCAAGAACTATTTTCTTGGGCTAACCTGGAAATGAGATTCTCCAGATCTCAGCCTCCCAAATAGCAAGGATATAGGCATGAGCCACTGGAGTCTGGTGGGAAGGTTTTTAACTGCATACATGTTACATCTGAGCATTATTATAATGAAAACAATCAGGGCTAGTGGAGTGGTTCAAGTGGGAGAGCACCTGCCTAGCAAGCATGAAGCCCTGTGTTCAAACCCCAGTAGCATCAAAACAATATATATATTTATATTATATACATATATATGATATATAAAATATATTATAAATATATTATTATAAATACTTTATAAATCTGTATTATAAATATATAACCATATAACTTTATAATATATAATTACATATTATTTATATATAATGAAAAATTATATATATAAATCAGCACCAAAACACGTTTTTCTTCTTCTCTCTGGTGTTGAATCACTGCTCACTGCCACAGTCCAGCTCAGGGCAGTCTCCCAGATTTCCTGTCTGTCCCCTGGCGATAGACCTTAATAATTGTACTGCACAGATCCCATCATATTTATAGGGTACCCAGGGATTACACCTCAGCCCATCAATTGAATGTCATTCAAATTTAGGCAGCACTAACTAGGCCCACCATGATGAAGGGCATGGATACAGAGCAACACTAAGTAGGCCTAGACAAGAAAACAGAAGCCAGAAGCCAGACAAGGGTGTCTGCACTTCTCTCTGGGATTAAGAGACTCCGAGCTCCAGGTGGCGCGCTGCGAGCATTCACCTGGCCAAGCAGACAAGGTCAGCTCCCATTACTGCTGGGCAGCTGAGTCCACTGATTTCATGGCTTATGGCCAAGATCGAGTAACAGAAGCAGAGGCCCCGAGGGGTATGGAGGGGTATGGATGGCCGGTAGGGGCCTTGTGTCTCTCACGTCCTGGTTGGGCCCAAGGTCCCCTCCAGGCCACATGTGTGGCCGCCTTGGCGGACCCACTGCTGGAGAGGGACTGTGGGAGGCCCGCCCCACTGTGGAAAAGAGATTCTTTGCTCAACTATCTACTGCCAACCGCCATTTCTGGAGGGAAGGCGCTTTGTGAGACCTTGGCCTGGGCAGCCAAGAGACCACGAGATGGCAGCAGAGGACACAAAACCTAAGCCATCTTGCAAAACAAAACAAAACAAAACAAAAAACAGTTCGAAATGCAGAGAATACAATCGGGAAATATCGCCAGTTGTCTATAATTACATATTCAAGGCCAGAATAAATGACTGAATTTAAAAGAAATGAGGGTGAAATTCACAGGCATGGGACCACTTTTCCAAACCACCATCACTTAGCTGCATAGGAAGCCATATAATCATGAACTGGATATTTCTCCAGTGTTTAAAATAAAAACCTAGGGGTCATGACCTTTAAAAATTGACATCAGCAGGAGCCTTGTCACAGTCCCTTCTTTCTGTGAAGTTCTAATTCTATTAAAATGAGTGACTTCCAGAGAGACTGCCACGAATGGGCAGATACAGTGGTTACTGGGAGCAGAATGCTGTCATATAGTGGCCAGGGAACCTGGCAACAGTCAAGGTGAGGAGTGGAAGAGTGGGGGACACAAGACTAATGTATCTCCCCTTGCAACTGACAGAGGGTAATGCCCAGGAAAGGGCATTACTGACTTCTCATCTAAAGCTCATCTCTCTTTCCCAGATGTGACTTCCAAATATATCTCCAGAAATTGCAAAATGTCCTTTTTTTGGGGGGTGGGGGCGGTAGCAGGAAATGACCCTCCCCTGAAAACCAGTGCTCTAGAGATATAATAATTTCATGTTTAATCCCGCTAGGATTCTTCTATTTCATGAGGTCTAATCCAAAAACTTAATTCCTACCATATAATGTAGATGCTGACAACTGAGGGACTATATGCTGAAGCTGGCCCTTGAATTTAAAAAAAAAAAAAAAAAATCAATATTTTAAAACCAGCTGGGGCAGTGGTGGCTCACAACCTATAATCCTAGCTACTCAGAAGGCAGAGATCAGGAAGACTGAGGTTCAAGGCCAGTGTAAAGGGGAAAAAGCAGGAACCCCCAATCTCAAAAATACCTAACACAAAAAAGGGCTGGTAGAGTGGTTTAAGTAGAGCACCTACCTAGCAAGCATGAGGGCCTATGTTCAAACCCCAGAACTGCAAAATGATAATAAATTAAAATCAGACTACAAAAAGCCAGAATTTCTGATTTCTATCAGAAAATTGAAACTAGAACAGTTAGGTCCCGGGTGGCAATAATTGGTGGAGTTGAGCAGAGACACCCATACATTTAAATAGACTGACTGTGTATTCTCATGGTCACAGTTCCCACCACTCCTATCACCTCATACCCAACCTGTTTCACTCTTTTAAACCATTCCTTGCCTCTACAGGCAATTTACTTTCAATTTCCGAATTGCCTTATAGTTTTTAAGTACTTTTCCTTGTATGCTTTTATTTTAGCCTATACTCCATTAAGATAAGTGTGATTATAATCTCTATGCGAGTAAAATGGAGTTCTGAGAGAGTTAACTCACCCAAGCAACAGAAGCACAATCTAAATCTAGATTTAGATTTACACAGCCAGTCTTATTATTTTTCTAAGTAAGAACCTGGTTTCTGGAACCAAACAAAAGAAATAGGAATGGGTATAACTGCCAACCATGAATTTCAACTGCTGTTCATGACTCACCACAGCCAGGCCCTGGTGGCTTATGCCTGAAATCCTAGCTACTTGGGAGGCTGAGACTGGGAGGATCATGGTTGAAGGCCAACCCAGGCAAAGTTTGAGACCCCTATTTCCAAAATACTCAGAGCAAACAGGACTACAGGAATGGTTCAAGCAGTAGAGCACTTGCTTTGTGAGTGTGAAGCCCTAAGTTCAAACACCAGCCCCACCAAAGAATCACCACAAATGAAATGACTAACCCTTGTTCTTTTTTGAAGTTGAATGTGGCTTTATGACTTGCTTTGGCCAGTGAACTGAGTGGAATTAACATGTGTCCCTTTGAGGCAGAGCATTGCAGAGCCCATGAGCTACTCTTCACAATTGATTACTTCACAATCTGAGGGCGGTAACTCGAAGCCTTGTGGTAACAGCAGGATCTCAAAATGGTGAGACTCATCATCTTGGCTTTCTGAATAATTTACAACGGGCATAGCCCTTTTCCAGCTTACTCTGGAAATACAGTATGAGAAATAAACCTTTGTAACCAACAGCATAACTAGCCTAACCTGGGTGACACAAGGTCATTGCCTGGTCAAGCTTTTCTAGGAACTAGAATGCAACAGCTAGACTTCTGATCACACCACTGAAAGTTTGAAGACAGAGGAAGTTGTTGATTTCCCCCTCGCTTCATCAACCACGACCTTCTGACTTTGAAGAAAATTCTTTTCCCAGAGCCCTTCACACCCGAGCCCTGGATTAGATTATTCTGTTTGTGGGGGAGGAAGAAAAGAAGTCCCAGATCTTGTTTTCTCCATTCCTGAGACTGATCCCAGAATTGTCTCCACCCACTCGTACTCTCACATAACTTTGTCATAGGGCGACTATTACCACTCCCAAGGTGTCACCAACACTGCAATGCCAAGGCCAGGCAGCCAGGCAGCGCTCTCCCCTCACTGGTACCTGGGCTTGGCTGAGCCCGGGGAAGCGGCACTCCCTAGGGAAAGAAGTCTTCTCAAGTAGGAACAAAAATGAGTGAGGCGAACACGCTTCCTGGGCACTATGTGAACTTGGGGTGAGTTCTTTTAGTACTCCAGCTCTGCTTGAGCTGGTTTCTAGCTACCCGCCGGCACCATTGGGACTCCCAGTTTTCCTGGGCTTTCCCCCAGCCCACCCGAACTTGTCATCTTTTCACACTTGCAGAGGTCGTAAATGGCGGGGCTCGAGTGCAACCAGAGCTTCAGCAGCCCGACCGCAGGCGGGATCAAAGGCCAGCGGGCAGCCAAGAGGCTGAGCCTGCGCACTCCCGCTCCCGCTTAGGAAGGGTGGAGGCAACGCGGGCTCGCTCCGCCGGCGTGCTCGCAAGAGGCGGGAAAGTCTAGGTCTGGTAGCCGCGTCCCTCCCTCCGCCGGCCGGGTCCACCCGCTGCCCTCCCGAGGCGGCGAGGCCGCGGGGGAGGGGGACGAGGAGGGCCCCGCGCTTCTGACTCATCATCTCCAACCCCTTTCTCGCGCGCGCTCCAAGTCTCAGGACTTTGGACCTGGGCACTCGTGTGAGGGGGCGCGGCGACAGCACCTGGGGAAGGGAGCCCAGCTCTGCCAAGCGCCAGCCCTCAGGCCTCGCCGGCTCCGCAGCTGGCAGCGGGAGGCCGTGGATCCACAGTCGGCTCTCAGTTGTGTGGTGGCGGTGGTGTCGCCCCCGCGCTGGACGGCTGACACGGTTCCTCCCCGCACGCGGGGCCAGTGGTCGCGTCCGAGGAAAGTCGGCTAGGCCCTGACTTCCAGCGCCTCGCGTCACTCAGCAGATGCGGAGGGAAGGCTCTTTATTTCCCAGCAGGTCATGGGGTAGCGGGGCATCCTGGGACTTGTAGTCTTCACTGCAAGAGGCAGGCCCTGGAGCCAGGAGAGAACTGGAGTACCCCAGACACGGATGAGATTGTGAAAGGTGACAGAGAGAACAGTGAGATGAGGAGATGCGAAGCTGTATGGAGAGACAGTGAGGAAGGAGGGGAAAGGGAGGGCTCTGGTGCAGACACTATCTTCCTCTAGAGGGGAAGGGAAGAGCATTCCTCCTGACTTCATGCGTGTCTCAGGGAAGTCCAACTAGCTTCTGAGTTTGGTGGGGTGGGATGCTGGCGCATCTGGAGAATGCTCCCTTAGGATAGGAGGACAGGAACACCTGTCTGCTTCCACTTGCCCGCTCACTTGTTTGCTCCGTTCCCTGTACTGGCGATCACGGGACCATTCTCCGAACCAGGATCCTCCTCCATCTCGGACAGGCCCTGAAAACCAGGCAACAGAGATTTGAGCCAAATTGTAGAGGTGAAAAAGAAAGCCCAGATGGAAACAATTTTCACCTCCTGGATTTTTTCTCTTAACCCTTCCAAAATGCATTCAGGCAGCTTCCTAATGCTCACCCACTCTTCTCACCCCAACCATTTAGACACCCAGCTCTCTCTTACCCACCATTAGAAGAATAATATCCAAAGCCAGAAAGCCAATCAATTTCAGTACAGGATCCCTTCATTCCCCTCCTGCTCCATTGTTTTCCCTTAGGGGCTAATGACCAGGCTAGCTAGTGGAAAAATTAGCTAGTTGCTCCATGTTTTTCTATGCCCCCAATACCTTCTGTAGCTCCTGGTAGTGCAGAGTCTGGGTCCTGAAGCATCCTGGCTTCCTCTGGTTCAGCAAGAATAGGGCATATACAGATACCAGCACACCTCCTAGGGTGAAAGCCTCAGCGCTGAGCTCCAGCACCAGCAAGCCTGCCAACTGCAGGTAGACAGAGCTGAGGATACTGTGGGGATCCAGCACCTGTTTTCCCCTGCCATTTCTCCTCAACATCTCTGGTTTCCTCCTCCTCCCACCTTCTCCTTTATTTGCCAGTACCTGGGAGGAGGCAGTAGAGGTAGGCCCCAAAGCCGTCTTCATCACCTCCACCACCAACACGATGAAGCCCAAGATTAGGTTGAGTATGTTGAATATCATCATGGCCCGTACCTGCCAGTGAGCCAGCTCAGCCCTGTGCAGCAGAGGGGACTCATTCCAACCTCGAGTCCCACCTGCAGCTAACTGAAAACAAAACTCAGCTCCTGTTTCTCCACCTCCATACAAGGCCATCAGCCCTGTAACTTTCTTACCCTGTCTCCTTAGTCTTTTACACCATCAATCAGAGAAGATAGCTAAGAGGATAAGTCAACACTAAGAGTCACTTACTTCTTGGGCTGATACTGTGTGTGTGTCTTTATATGTCTATTTGGGGGGTTGGGAGGACAGGCCTGTATTTTCTTCCCTTCTCACCTTCCAAAGGCGAGGTGCTCTGCGAAGCTCAAGGGTGACAATCCCGGTGAGGAGACCCTAAATGGCAAGAAGGCCAAATGTTGAACTCTGGTCCCATTAGAGAGGGGTCCCAAAGACTTTCCTCCCATCCTCCCTTATGGTGGGTCTTACCGAGGTTCCAGGCCCAAGTAGTAATGCTGTGACCATGTGACAAGCAGAGTTCAGGCAGGCAACTGAGATGGCAAAAGGCACCATAGCTACTGCCAGCCATAGCTGGCTTACCTGGAGGCCAGGGCAGTGTAGTTTAAGGGAGAGCCCTCAAGAGTTCTTTTTTTTTTTTTCTTTTTTTACAACTCTTGCCTCTTCTAGAGATCAGTAATTGGGATAAATGCATGGTAGAAGGAAAGTAGTCAAGCAAGGGCAGTGAAAGAAGTGATATTTAAGAATTTAATACCATTTAATTTTTTTCTGCCTCATGTTGTACTTTAGTTGCCTATGTTTTCCCTAATGGTAGAAGTTACTTGAAGATTAAGAGTCTTGCTTTTTATTTCTGTATTTCCTCCACCTTCCTCCCACTCAGAGCCTAGCACAGTTTCTGGCACATGGTAGGTGCTCACTGAACATGGATGAAATTGAATTAGCTACAAGTAGACCTGCTAAGACCTGGGCTGGGGCAGCCTGGCCTCACCGCCAGAATCAAGAGGTGTCCACTTTTCCTGTGTCTTGCCCAGTGCTGTAGCTTTTCCAGACGAGGACTGAGTCTCTCTTGCTCTTGCTGATCAGCTCTATGCTCCATGGCTCCCTTGACTACAAGAGGTGGATGCTTCCTGGGTTGGAAAAACTCATTATATTGGAAAAACTCATTATAGGACTGTCCTTCAGGAAACAGGGCATGCAACATTTCTTTCAGTTACCCCTATGCCCACTCCCAATCCAGAGTCGAGGCCCAGGACCTCACACCTACCGGTCTGAAGCAGCTACTCCTAAGGAATGGAACCCAGCTGGGATTTCTTAGGGGCTTGTTAGCTCAGGGTAGACGGCAAACTTGTCCTGGCACAGAAAGGCTGTCAGAACTGGGGCGTGGGAGGACAAAGGTCCCAATGACAGCCTAAGTTGCCTGGGTAGACACCAGCCTCTGTTGCTCTCCATGAGACATCCAGCCCTTCCTCAGTCTGTTCCCATTTCCTGTTGCCCCCATTTCTCCCTTCTAGATTCACTTACCTCATCCCTATGGACACTATCACCCTGGACTTCAGTTTCCCCTTATTTTCACCTAATCTTTCGCCTTTCTTTGGCTTCTTCCTCAAATGTGAGATCCTCTATTACTGTCTGGATTGCTCATTGCCATTTGCAGCTCTGTCCCCAGGAAAAGTAAGCTTTAATTCCCCTGGTCTTTCTGTCTCTCACTTTCTGGACCCTTTCTCCTCTTTCCTTCCTTTCTTGAAGGATTTACTCTGAATAGGAGACTAAGTTGATGGGAGACTTGTTTATAATGAGAATTAACTCAATGATAACCACCTAGATACCATGGAAGATGGTCTCGAAATGATCAGTCTTAGGAAGAATGTTGTTGCAACAATATTTCAGAGAAAAGGTGCCTTGCAGCCTAGGCTAGGAACTCGGTTCTGCTGCTGTCCCAGCTGGGAGAACTTGGACACGTCATTGTAACATTATTTTACCTATTTGAACCTCGGTTTGTTCGTTGATAAAAGGGAGCAAACCATATGCCTATGAAGGTTGTAAATTCAGCATGAGTAGTGCTTAATAACAATTAAAGGTGCTGATAAGGTCATGCTGCTGTGCCCTATGACCATACCCTGAGGAGTTTATTAAGAAGCTAAGCTGGGGACATTTATTTCTGCAGCAAGAAGCAGATTCAGCTGGGCTGGAAGCTGTACTCTACACATCAAATATATGAAAGACCAGTCTTGGTGCAGAGCCTGAGGTCTGGAGACTACCAGACCTATGTTCAAGTTCAGCTCTATTTGGCTGACCTTGGGCAAATTGCTTAATCTGTTTCCTTATCTATAAAGGGAAGTTAATATAGCAATCTCAAGGGGTTGCCTTGAGCATTAAAAGAGAAAATGCAGGGGCTGGTGGAGTGGCTCAAGCGGTAAGAGCGCCTGCCTAGCAAAAGAGAAAAATGCATACACACTTAGTCTAGCTCCTACCACATAAATGCTCAGAAAGTTAGTGATAACAGGAGAAACTGAGCCATAAGATCCCTGCGAGTTAGTCCCAGGAGTCAGGGTCCTGGGAAGCAAGCTGCCTCCTCATGTGCCCTACTCAGTGCAGGGCCAACATCATTGGACCTCGGTATTCACTCTTCCTTCCTGGGGAGTGGATTTCACATTTTAAAGGGATCCAGAGGCGCTGGCAGAGTGGCTCAAGTGGTAGCGTGCCTGCCTAGCAAAAATGAGGCCACGAGTCCAAACCCTAGTGCTACGAAGGAAAAAACAAAACAAAACTCGTGTCTCTTTCTCCCTCCTCAATCCCCTGTGAGTTACTTTTATTTAATGGCAGTGTGAAACGCTGGGCTTGCACTGAGGATCCGTGAACTTGCAGGCCAGTGGAGAGACTCCTGGAGCCTCATTTTTCTTGCCTGTAAGTGAGAACTTATTATAGTAAAGGGTTATTGTAAGAATTTTACATTAAATACGGGGACAAGCACTTAGTAAATACTGACTAAATCGGAATATAGTACTTACAAGTTTGTAGCCACGGTCCTAACTACACTCTTCTGGAGGAAAGGCACTGCATCCCCCATCTGCACACCCCCACAGCGCTGAGTACAGTGCCTGGCACTTGGTAAGCACTCAGTAAATATTTGTTGTATTGAAGAGTCGTTAAAGTGTCATAAAGAATGGAAAATAGAATTCGAGAGGAAGGAGCGAGAATTGTTTATCAAGAACAGAAAGGGCCGAAGAGTAACTTTAATAATGTTTCTTATACGGCAGACATTAACTATCCTCATAATCGCCCCTCCTCCTCCCCAAAAAGAGAGACAGAAATTGTCAGGAGAGGCTTTGAGATAAAGCCCCAGGAAGAACTTCCCGAGTCTGTGCATGTCGGGGCAGAGCGGCGCAGAGCCCACTCCTTCCCTGGTATGTCCGGGTCCAGGGTGGGAGGGGCGGTCCTGCTCGGAGGCTGGGGAAGGACGAGATGACCTTTCAAAATCTCTTCAGTCCCCCGTACGAATCGCCCGTGCGCCCCACCCCCGCTCCCTCCTCCCTCCGACAGCGCCCCCCGTCTCCAAACTGCCCGCACCCCGCCCCTGGCGGCCGCCTCTCGCGGCTCCCGGGGTCCCCAGCTCCCTGTCCCCAGAGCCAGAGCCGCGCTCCCGCGCGCGGCTCCCAGCCCCGCCGCGCCGCCCCCCGCATGCTAATGGCCGGGCCGCCTCCCGCCGCACACAATGCGGGCCAGGGCCGGGGGCGGGGGGACCGGGGAGGGGGCGGGGGCCGGGCCGGGGGCGGGGGGGCCGGGGCCCGGCGCATCTCCCCCGGCCCCACGTAACGCTGACGCCCGCGCCGCCGGCCCGCCGCCCGCCGCCCGCCGCCGCCGCCGCCGCCGCCCGCTCCGCCGCCGCCCGCCCGGGGCTCGTGAGTAGCCGCTCCCCCCACTCCCGGCCCGCCCCCCCCCCCGCGTCCGCCACCCGCCCCCGCCCCCGGCCCCCTCCCCCCTTCCCCGAGGGGGGGCCGCCCGCGCGCCCGGCTCGGAGCAGGTGCAGGGGGCGGGGGCGGGGGAGGGGCGCCGGCTCGGCCCCGAGCAAACTTCGCCCAGAGCTCCTGGGGGGCGGGCTGGGGGTGGCGGCCTCGGGAGCCTGGAGAGCTAGGGGGGATCCGAGGGAGGGGGGGCCAGGTGGGGGAGCCGGGGGAGCGGACTCCAGAGGAGAAGGGCCGACCGGGGTGGGGTGGGGGCGGGGGTGGCGAGCGTCTTTGTAGGGGCCCGGAGGCAGGGCGCGAGGGGCCTGGGGGTGCGCGGCAGTGGAGCCGCGAGCCTGAGTGGGTGAGCGCCCCCCGGCCCAGGTAGGGCCGGCGGGGGAGGGGGAAGGAACCCAAACTCTCCGGGAGTGGGGAGGGGTGGGGGGAGGGGAAAGGATGGGGGGTGCTTCCCTCTCTGCGTCCCAAACAAAGTGTCACAAAGAGCTCGGCCCGCGGCAGCAGCGGAGGCGGCTGTAACTCAGCTTTTGTTCTCCCTGCCGAGGTGGCTGAGCCCTGGCCTTCCTATCTCCCAACCCTGCCTCCCATCATCCTCTGACTTATCTTCCGTGGGTGGGGTCTAGGGTGCTGCTGGAAGAACCTCTTGTGCGGGATCACAGGTCCTACTCTACTTGCCAACCTATTTCTGGGAGGGGGTTTTTCCCAGAGGTTCTCCTACCCACTTTCATCTCCCAGTCGGAGGTCTGAACCTCGTGTGGGTGTACACACTGACTTTGTTTTTTAGGGTCAGCTCCAGTTAAAGAGACTTAAGGCTGGCTATATGTGCCCCTTCCCCAAATCCAGGTCCTCCAGAACTTTTCAGAATCAGGGTCAAGTTAGGACATGCCTTTCTGGTAAGATTTACTATATGGAACGGTGGCAGCAGGTGTACTTTCCTCTCACCGCCTGCTGTACATTTGGGAGCCATGACAGGTTCCATGCCTCCAACTCAGGACAGTGAGTAGGAAGGAAGGAGGCTTTACCAAGTACAAAATCTAAAAGGTGGCAGGGAGGTTGTGGTGTAGGAGGAGCTATCTGAGCAGCGAGGTTCAGAGGGATATGGAGAGGAGACCATAAAAGTGAACTGTTGTGCCTGTGTAGTAATCAAGGTGGTCTTGGCTCTAGACCACCTACGAAGCTTCTTTTCCTTTCAATCTCCTCTAGTGTAGTGGTTACCTTAATTGTTAGCAGACTTGAGGTGTAGGATTCTCAACAGAGGGGAAAACATCAAGTGTTAGAGATAGACCAGAGAGTGGTCTAGTTACAACTAGACACCAGAGATTCTGAACCCTTCCTCCTTACACTTTAACTTACAACTTTTGAACCACAAGGCTTGAGGGACAAGTCTTGGTTCTCCATTCAGCAAATGCTTGTGTGTACCTGTCCTTGTGTGTAGTAGGTCTTTTCATCAGTCATCCTTTCCTACTCAGTAAGGTTGGATGGTCCACATCTTTACCACTAGCTGTTCTGGTATGTAAGAATAATTAGCCTGTTCCTTTGGAGATATTTCTTTCTCTCTCTCTCTCTTTCTCTCTCTCCCCCTCCTTCTCTCCCTCTCCCTCTCTCTCCCTCCCTCCTTTTTGGTAGGACTGGGGTTTGAACTCTGGGCTTCAGGCTTGCAAAGCAGGCACTCTTCTGCTTGAGCCACACCTCCAGCCCACTTTGGAACTATTTCTGATCCCTTTCCCTGGCCCTGCATCCCTATAGAATCCAAATAAGGGCAAGATAACCCCTGATTCCCAATGGGGGTGGAAAGTAGGTCAGTGCCACTGTCTGGCCTGTCTCAGGAATGGTGTTTAAGGCCTGAGTATGGAAAATTCTGATTGTCGTCCACAGGTAATACGTGTGTGACTCAGGTTCCAAGCCAGTTCGTAGAATCCCAGTGCTTGACTGTGCTCTCACCTATTGGGAACAACTGATGAAATCAGGCACCTGAGGCCCGGCTTGACGTAGAGATGATGGAGGCCATCTTGGCTGGGCCTATGAGGTCACTCAGTAAATTTTGCTGATTTTAGGCCACCTTCTGGAGAAACTTTCCCTGCTGGAGAATTCAGCTTCCATTTGGGCGTTATATATTACTGTATTTCCATCCTGGAAAGTATGTGCAAAGTGGGGTTTGTTGTTGTTTTGGGGAGAGGAAGCTTTGCCCTGTTTTGCTTTTTTTTGCCTTAGATACGAGGCCAGCTTCCCATGAAGTGTTTTGCTTGCAGTCCCACAGGCAGTTTTAGGGGCCCTAGAATTTTCTCAGAATGAGAATATGTGTCCATAGGTTAGTCAGCTATGACCGTGCAGTATTCCCAGCCTTCCCCCGCCCCCTTCCCGGCCATCTGCTTCCTCTGAATATAACAGATTGGCTGTACACCAGGATGTTCCGGGAATCCCCAGGAGAGCAACAGAATGTGATGGACCCAAATACGATGCCTCAGTAACTCATTCCAGAATGTACAAACTGTTAACTGTCAGGACACTTCTCACAGCTAATTAAAATTTTTCTAGTTACATCTATTTTCTGTTACCTCTGTCTATTTTCGGTGACATCCTAAAGGCCAAAATAGTCCCTCTGCTACCACTTTCCCCATGGTTCCCGGATAGGAATTTAAAAGAAAAAAAAAATCCACTAGTTTTTCTGTGTCTTATCTGTGATGCTAAAATGGCAAACATGTCCCCTCTAGCACTTTCCAGTTTTATCTATGGTACTGAGGTGGCCAAAGTGGCTTCTCTGGTAGCCCACTGCAACTCTCCATGGTACTGAAGGAATGACCATTTGTTTTGACATCTCTGTAAGATCCAGAAGAGTCCTGTGACTTGGAACCCCAGAATTTCCAGAGGGAAGGGATATCAATATAAATTGATCCAGCCCTTTATTTCATAGGTATGATTTACTGAGGGTTGTAGGACTCCTAATAGTTAGAATGGGTTTGTAGTAGCCCTGTGCCCTTAGTTCTGTTCTAATTGTTGTGTGAACCCAGCTACACTCATGGTCCCAGGAAAGGGTTTTTTGAGAATGAGAGCAGATACCCAAATTTGGAGCTACAGAAGTACACATATAAGTGGAAGGGTGATTAGACAACCACCTAAGGACATTTTGTTGTTCTGTTAATAATATTCCTAAAGCTCACATTCTGCATGTAACAGATACTTGCCTCTTCATGGAGTCTTACCATGTCCACTAAAATTAGAGAAGCCTTGGGCCTCCAGAGCCTTTTCTTTGCTGATAAGCAGAGCTGACTCCTGGTCCAGTTCCCTTCTATTAAAGATTTGTAAGCAAAGTAATACTTGAGTCCTTTTCTTTCTCTGTAATCTATTTCCATTCATAATGCCCATTGTAAGGAAGTTCTTTATATCTCAAATATTTTATCTTAAAAAAATAAAGGCAAGCCCCACATTCATCTAGCCTTGATCAGAGACAATTCTATATGAAAGCAGGAGGGTAGACTGGATAACTTCTGGTCATCTTCTGAGGCCTCTTCCCATGAAATTTAATTTGGGGGTTGCTTCTAATTATCAGGACAACCCTTTTCCCATCTTCTTCCTTTTGCCATGTTTCTCCTTCCTTAGCCCTGGAGCTCAGCACATCTCAGGCCTGGGGAATTTTAGCTGGAGAATTTTAACCCCTTCCTGCTCAGAGCAAGTGAGGAGCCCCTATCTGTGCAGATGGCCCGGCCCCGCCCCCCGTCCCTCACTCCAGCCTCTTGAGCTCAGAGCCAGTGTAATCCTCCTCTTGTGTGAGGAAGCCTCTCCCCTGCAGAGAGGAGGAAAGCCTGCTTCGGAACAACCCTGGACAAAGGGGCTGAGATGCCCCTTCAAACCGCAGGTTCCCAGGTTTGAAATAGGGGACAAATCCTACACGGTATTTGCAGTTTTTAACCTTTCCCCAGCCTGGCAGTGCCCCTTAACTTCCACTCCTCCCCCAACTCTTCATTCCCTCTGTAGCTCTCTCCCCCTTCACGCCCCTCCCCCTCTGTCTGTCTCCAGACTCTGCTGCTGGGAGGTGTTTCTCTCCCATGCATGAATGAGTCTCTGTAATGAATGGAAATGAATGGATCAGGAATTCAGGCAGAGGGAGGGAGAGTGAGGGAGAAAGACAGGGTAAAGGCACAAGCAAGGACTGAGGAACCTGGAAGGATGTTTGGCTGGCTGGTCAGTTAGGGGGTCTGAGAGTGACTGGTTCCAGCTTGATAACTGGGGAGCATGGCAAGCTCTCTTCATTTGCTTATCAAGCCCTGTGGTCCATCCCATATGGAAGAGGGATATACTGTGGTGGCCTCCCGCATCTATCACCAGGGCATGAGGAGAAGGAGGTGGTGGTTCTGGACGAGGCATTTAAACCTCGTAATCTGTAGGAAGAAATCCGGGTTATCAAGGAGCCTTTGGGACTTGGCAAATCAAGGGATGCCGATTTTTGAAGACAGCAAATGGGAAGGATGCAATGCCTCAGAATGCAAATAGGAGGAAGGGATAGGTTTTAGGTTTAATGGGTGCTGAGAGTCTGGGGTTGGAAGTGACTACTGCTGAAAATCAGGGCTCATCTTTCCCCAAAATCTTTCTTGCTTTAGCTCCTCAGCACCTGTTGCCTTCATTAGCAGCTTTTCCTCCTCTTCCCTGCACTCCTCAGAACCAAAGAATGTGAAGGGGGTCCATGGAGGTGAGTGAAGAAGCTCTGTCCTGAACCTACATGTAACTTCAACCGTACTCTTCCCTGCCTACCTCTCTTTTTGACCTCCTGTTATACATGTTATCTCATTTTTGGTCCAAACATACCATTCCCACTCATCCTCCAACTTCCGGAGATGAGTGGATCCGGTTCTCTTGGGTCTCCCCAGCCCACTCTCCCTCGTGTCCTTCTTGCCCTCAATGCCTTTGCTTCTCCACAGATTGCCCTTCTCTACCCTTTGCTCTATGTGTTTGTGAATCTTTTCCCACAGGGCTCACGTCCCCGCATTCCGGGTGGTGGCCATTTAGCGCCGTCACCACCGGCCTTCGACGGCGAACTGGATCTGCAGCGCTACTCCAACGGGCCAGGCGTGAGCGCAGGGTCTCCCGGGATGGGAGCTGTGGGCTGGTCTGAGAGTCGTGCAGGTGAAAGGCGCTTCCCTTGTCCTGTGTGTGGGAAGCGCTTCCGCTTCAATTCCATCCTGGCTTTGCACCTGCGAGCGCACCCGGGCGCCCAGGCCTTCCAGTGCCCACACTGCGGCCACCGTGCAGCGCAGCGGGCTCTGCTGCGATCACACCTCCGAACGCACCAGCCCGAGCGCCCACGTAGCCCCGCTGCGCGCCTGTTGCTGGAGCTGGAGGAACGTGCCCTACTGCGCGAGGCCCGACTGGGTAGAGCCCGAAGTTCAGGAGGCATGCAGGCCACCCCCGCCATCGAGGGTCTGGCGCGGTCTCCTTCGTCGTCTGCCTTCCGCTGCCCCTTTTGCAAAGGCAAGTTTCGCACCTCCGCGGAGCGCGAACGCCACCTGCACATCTTGCACAGGCCTTGGAAGTGTGGCCTATGCAGTTTCGGTTCCAGCCAGGAGGAGGAGCTGCTGCACCATAGCCTGACGGTCCATGGGGCTCCCGAGCGCCCCCTGGCGGCCACCTCCGCAGCGCCCCAGCCTCAGCCTCCACCCCAGCCAGAACCCAGATCTGTCCCTGAGCCGGAGCCAGGGCCAGAGCCCGAACGTGAGGCAACCTCTGCCCCCCCCGCTCCTGCAGCCCCTGAGGAGCCCCCCGCGCCTCCGGAGTTCCGCTGCCAAGTGTGCGGCCAGAGCTTTACACAGTCCTGGTTTCTCAAGGGCCACATGCGCAAGCACAAGGCCTCCTTCGATCATGCGTGTCCCGTGTGTGGCCGCTGCTTCAAGGAGCCCTGGTTCCTTAAGAACCACATGAAGGTGCACGCCAGCAAGCTGGGCCCTCTGCGTGCTCCAGGGCCTGGCTCTGGGCCTGCCCGGGCCCCTCAGCCTCCTGATCTGGGCCTGCTGGCCTATGAGCCACTGGGCCCTGCGCTCCTCCTGGCCCCGGCGCCCACTCCAGCCGAGCGCCGTGAGCCCCCCAGCCTCTTGGGCTACCTGAGTGTCCGAGCCGGCGAAGCGCGGCCCAATGGTGAGGGCGCTGAGCCCGGGGCTGGCCGTAGCTTCGGAGGTTTCCGCCCGCTGCCGTCTACCCTCCCGGCCCGGGCTCGCCGGCACCGCGCGGAAGAGCCAGAGGAGGAAGAGGAGGTGGAGGCCGAGGAGGAGAACTGGGCCCGGGGCAGGTCGCTGGGCCCTCTGGCTTCACTGCATCCGCGTCCGGGCGAGGGGCCAGGGCACTCTGCCCCTGCCGTAGGGGCCCAAGCAAGATCCACAGCCACGCAGGGTATGTGGGGACTCCCTTGTTTCTGGTTTCCCACTCTTGGGCCTCTCTGAAACCTTTGCAACCACTTCTGTAACTTCCGTTTAAAATGGGCTCCCTCCCTACCCCAAGCAATCCGTCTGTGCCTCTTCCCCTAGAAGGTTTGCAGTTTTCTGAGGCGCTAACTCAACTCAACAAATCCAACCCTCAGGTTTCCCGAAGCCTGAGCCCCTCAGGAAAGTAGTCTTGTGGGGTGGGTGTCGGGGGCACGTGACCTGCACAGGGCAAAGAGACCCTATAACTTCCTCCTGACGTGTGTTGCAGAAGAAAATGGGCTGCTGGTTGGAGGGACCCGGCCTGAAGGGAGCCGGGCGGCCACAGGCAAGGATTGTCCCTTCTGCGGCAAGTCTTTCCGCTCAGCGCATCATCTCAAAGTGCATCTGCGAGTGCACACAGGTGAGAGAGGCAACCTCCTGCATGGGGAGGGGTTGGAAGGCAGAAGAGAGTGAGAGCCTTTAGATTGGCTAGAGGTCAGCTGGGGACACTCATTGACTAAATCAGCCAGTGGGAGAGGCAGTTTGTTCCTGGTCTATAGGATGAAGTTTGTAAATAGGCAAAATGCCAGTGGAGGTGTGCAGTGATCTTGACCCCTTGAGCTTATCTTACCTACTCTCCCCAGGCGAGCGCCCCTACAAGTGTCCGCACTGTGACTATGCGGGCACCCAGTCCGGCTCACTCAAGTATCACCTGCAGCGTCACCACCGGGAGCAGAGGAGCGGTGCAGGGCCTGGGCCACCTCCAGAGCCACCACCCCCTTCCCAGCGGGGTTCAGCCCCGCTGTCAGGAGCCAAGTCGGCTCAGTCCCCTGCGACCTGGGTCGAGGGAGCCACAAGCCCCCGGCCTCTTTCGAGCGGTGCAGGGCCCGGGTCCCGTCGGAAGCCTGCCAGCCCAGGGAGGACCCTGCGCAACGGGCGAGGTGGTGAGGCCGAACCCCTGGACCTGTCCCTGAGGGCGGGACCAGGAGGCGAAGCCGGGCCGGGGGGTGCCCTCCACCGCTGCCTCTTCTGCCCCTTTGCCACTGGAGCCCCCGAGCTCATGGCCTTGCACCTGCAAGTGCACCACAGCCGCCGTGCACGGGGCCGCCGGCAGCCCCAAGCTGATGCGTCCCCGCCCTATGCCCGGGCATCATCAGGAGAGACTCCTCCCAGTCCTCCACTGGAAGGGGAGGACGGCCCAGTGCTGTCTAGATCGGGAGAGGCGGGGCTAGGGGGGCAAGAACGGTAGGGAGCCCTCTTAGGGGTGATTAGCTTAGTGAGCTTACCCCGCAGGAGCGGGGGAGCGCTAGAGGTAGTTGGGTAGAGCAGCCAGCAGGGGGCAGAGTGGGACCCAGATCCCAGCCCCAGGCGGACCAGAGGTGGAGGGGGGCAGTGGGTGAAGAAAGGTGGGCAGGCGGTACCCACCCAGTCCAAGGGGAGTCACAGTGCCTTAGAAGTGGCAGAGGTAAGGGTCAAAGAACGGGGTCCCAGGGCTGGCAGAGGGTTGCGTCCCTGTTGAGGAGCCACTCTGCCAGTTTTTGCTGGTCCGTAGGCGTGAGAGTTTATTTTTGTACGAGGGGTGGGGGTGGGGGGCACTGTACCCATCTAGCCCCATCAGGGGCCTTGTAGACGTTGCTATTTTTGGTACGATTCCTGTCATCCCTGTCGCAGAGTCGTGTCCCCAATAAACAGGTGTCTTGAGGCACAGGGCCCTGTGTCTGTCTGTCTGCCTATGTCCTGTTACCCTCCTTGGGATCTTCACTTCTTCGGGCATTTAATATTGCTCAAAGAGTTGGATAAAACAAGCTGGAGGCCCTGAGTTCAATCCCCAGTACCACAAAAAACCCCCAACCCCCCCACCCATATTTTGGTTTATCCCTAGGTTTCAGATCAGTAACTCTGGGTGGGGCCAAAGAATTATCATTTAGTCAGTAGCCTTGTGCTGGAGGTGTGGCTCAAATGGAGATCACTTGCCTAGCAAGTTCAAGGCCCTGAGTTCAAACACCATACCACGCACAACACAAAGTTGCCTAAAGGGTTCTCCTGCACTTGGTGCAAGTACCTTATTGGGGAACTGATGGATTGTGCTGTACCTACTTGTCACCACTTCCCAAGAGGTGGGTGCAGAATGGGAGAAGGAGCTTCAAGAGTTTGTTGAGTAGGGAGGGGGTGGGGAAAGGGGGGAGAAATGACCCAAACATTGTATGCACATATGAATTTAAAAAAAAAAAAAAAAAAAAAAAGTTCATTGAGCCTCTGGGAGCCACTGTGGAGGAGGCACATTCTCCCAGGCTCTTGCACAGTCAGCTTTAGGCCAGTAACAGGTAGATGGCTACCTTCCAGCCTTGACTTACTTTCTGTGTTCTAGTTACTGGTTGAGGGGAATTGCTTAAGTTAATTGAGACGCTGTAATCCAGAGCAGTGGCTCCAAGGAGGCAAAGTGTGAGTAAATACGTTTAATATAACAATAGTATAATAATAGTAATTACATAAATAAAGTTTGCAGTTCCCACCCTACTCTCCTTTTACGGTTTGCATAACTCCCATTTTCCATGACACCCCACAATGGGGTCACCAGGAACTCCACTTGACCTGGCAAAGGTGAGTCTTCTCTGGGAGAGCCAGGGGATGGGAAAGGTGAAACAGGCTGCCAGCAGAGCCATGTCCTGGGGCTGTGCAGTGGTGCAGGATGGGTAAGGACTGGAAGAGGCATATTTCCCTGTCTCCAGGGTATGAAGGCAAGCAAGTGTGGCCACTGTGTTCCTGCAGCAGAAGGCACCAAGCAGGGGAGAGCTAGAGATAGCAGTAGCTGGGGGATGCTCTGGTCCTTAGCCCTCCTGTGTCCAGGAAGTGGAGGGAAGGAATTCAGAGTTCTCCTAGTCCTCCATTATGTCCCACTGGCATCCCAGCCTAAAATATGCTGAGAGGAGAGGCAGCAGCCAAGTTCTGGATCTTCTCTAGAAGCCAGGAGAGAAGAAGAAGATGGTTGGGAGAGGGAGGAAGCTGACTCCCAAGCAGCTGAGGTCAGGAAAGAAGGTACTTGCAGGAGGGAAGACGGAAGGTGTACTGGATGCTGTAGAAAGGGGCATTGACTCACCTAGGTCACAGAGGCGTCGTGGGGTCACTCAGGGCTCGGGCATGACTCTGAGGACACAGAAACTGTAGTGAATTGAGAGACACATTCCCTGTCTGAGTCTCTTTCCCAAGTCTGCTGCTTTTATGAAGACTTTTTTTTGCCTTTTAGCTTGATCTCACTTATCCAGGCCTGAGCCAGGAGAAAGGCAGACTGGACAATAAATCTGATCTGTAGTCTCAGCTGGCAGCCTAACGTCACTGGTTCCTCTGCCCTCAATGAATTGAATGATCAGAGAAGCCCCCCCAGAAAGTGACCAAAGAAACCCAGCCTCATTTCAGGGGCTTACCTGCCAGGATAACCCTAAGGTCCCTCCACTGGCCAGAGTGGGAGTGCTGCTCCCAGGGTGGGGGGGTTGCACGCTGGGGCTGTGTCTTGGTCCTGGGGATACATCTCCAGAAGAGTCAAGTGTTTCTGGGGCTAGAGGGGAAGCTCGGATGAGAGCAGGGTATAGAACCCCTCCAGATTACCTTAAGCAACCATGCTGCTCCATCAGGGAAGGAAAAGCTCCATAGCAACAGGAAGCTGTGAGTCAACCATAGCAATCCAGTTGCAAGAGAACCCCCCTACCAAGAGGCAGGAAATTGTCAGCAGCATCATTAGAGCAACCAGGGAAGAAGCGACAGGAAACTATAAGGATTGCCGTGGTGAACCAGGAGGATACAACAGGAAGCTGAGGCAGTTTCCATAGAAACTCAAGGAGAGCTAGAGAGAGAGAGAGAGAGAGAGAGAGAGAGGTACAGAGGAAGTGCTTCTTAGCAAAAGGCTGCTGTAAGCATCACCCTAGCAACCAGATGGAAGGCTCTTTTAGCAATGGGGAAGCTGTATGTGGTTGTCATGGCAACTGGGCTACTTGGCTAGGAAAAGGAATTGCTCAGCAGTGGGCAGCCTGAACATCACCATGGTGACCCAGCTGTTGGGAGCCACCCCTTGAGAGGTGCCTCACCCAGGGAAATTTGCTTGACGTCCAGATCCCAGGCCTCCTCCTCGACGCGGGCAGGCAGGGAGCAGGCTCCCGGTGAAAGACCGGGAAGGGAGGGGCCGGCATGCTCAAAGGATGACACGGCCACCGAGGCCCGGGTGCGGGCGGCTGTAGAGAGTGGGGAGTGGGGGTGGTGGTGGGGTGCTGGTGTGGGAAAACCCTCCTGGCTCCCCGGAACAACTCTTAGTCTCACCAAGGGCTCCCAGTCAGCCCCACAGATTTTGGAGACCCTTCCTGACTTTCCATCATGTTCCCCCTACCTTGTGCTTCCACCATTAGTCAAGGTCTGACCTCTGGCGACACCCCCAGCACCCTGGTCCTCACCTCTTCCAGTGAGCAGGGCACTCAGTGTCCGCTCCCCGAGAGCTTTGATGTCCAGGAAGGGTTTGTTCCCAATGCCCATGGAGACCATCTGCTGTACTCGGAGCTCTATGGAACAGAGACCCTGTTAGCAACCTCCTCTAGCAGTCCTTGGCTCCAGCTCTAACACATCACATTGACTCTTCTTTTTCTCCTTCCCAACTCTCATTCCTTCCTCATTGCTCTGGCATCTCATTATTCTTCCCATTGACCATCATGACATGGATAGTGACAGTAGTCCTTGACTTCTTCCTCAGATTTATGTCTTTTTGTCCTATCTGTCACATCCTGCCCACTTGGATCCCAGGCACCTGACTTTTCTTTTAATGCTCAGCTTCCATCTATCTTAGGTGTTAAGAGCAAAACTCAGATTTTTAACATATCTTAAACTCCTTCTATACATGTCACCTTACTTAATTCTCCTCTATCACACTAACATGAGATACCAGTATTGCATTTTTCAAATGTGTAGAATGTAGTTCAGAAAATTAAAATAAATAAATAAAAACAACAAAACCTCGAAAACCAAAACAACCAACAGAAAATACTAGTCTGGGTTACATAGCAAGTAAGGAGCACCAGTTCTCAATCCCAAATCAAGTGAACAGTCTCTCACGTTCTTTTGCCCAGCCATTTGCTTGCCCAGCAAGAGCTCCCTTGAAACCTAGCTTTCTTCCCATTTGGTATACCTTAGGCAAATTTCTATCTCAACAATTTCTCTTTAGCAGATCTTGAATCTTAAATCATATTTTCTTCATCCTATACCATTTTCCCAAGTAATCCCTATGCTTTCCAGAAAACCGCCTACCGTAACCCTGATTCCAAGTACACCCTCCCTGCTTGCCCAGTACCCTTGTTGTGGGCTGCCTGTCTCCACAGCAGCTGGGCAATAGAACTCGTCCACTTCAGTTTGATCTCTGGGGAGGTTGCCTGCAGAGTGTATGCCTCTCGTGCACGCCGCCGCCGAAACCACAGCTCAAAACACAGCCCACTGTCCCCGATGTTTTCAGTCAGCCCCATGTCAGCAGTCTGAGGGAGGATGGAGGGGAGTGGATGAAGACAAAATAGTCCTGGTGAGGGGGGACCATGTGGGCAAGCGCTACACCTGGCCGAGCATCTGGTAGATGCTTAGTAAAAATTTTCCTGACACCTATCAGGTACGTGTAGCCTTCACCATAATTTATGGACAGGGAAATGAGGCTGAGAGACATGCAGCATCTTGCCCAAGGGCTTACAGATTATTAGTTAGGATTCAAACCCATATCTTTGTTGTTCCAGAGGTAGGCCTTTTACTCTGAAGAGCTGGATCTAGTGTACGAGGACAGAGTTTAGGAACCTTTAGAACCACTCTGCATTGCCTGCCCACAGGACCATAGGTTACTATGGATGGCTATCTTGTTGGCTCCCTAAAGCAAGGGCTCCCTCTTGAGTTCTGTCAAATTAAGAAACATATAGTCCCCTTTCTCCTCATGCCCCAGGATCACCTCTAGCTAAAAAGAAGCGTGTGTTCCTAATGGGTAAGGTCCTCTTCCATTTTGCCTTGAAATGCCTCCTAATGCATGGACTAGAGGGAAAACCCCATGGAGCAGACCAATCACAGGGACTTCTGTCATCACCCGACACTCTAACTTGATGACTGATTTTGGGCCAAAGCCTGTTTAGATGATGTAGATTCTGAACCTGGTTTGGGGTTGATGTTCCAGAACATTCTGAGTTCTCAACAAGAGTAGGAATACCTCCTTCTCCCACATACATACTGTAGGCAATGTACCTTAAAAGCCTGCTTGTAAACAAAGGTCTCTGAACCCCCCTCGGAGCCCTTGAGCTTGCTGAACAGGAGCAGATGCTCAAAGAGAAAGACATGGCGAAGGCACTTCTTCCGGCCACAGATGACAGTGAAAGGATCCCGATGCAAGAGCTGTCCCTGCTCCTTCAGATCTATCTGGGGAAAGGAAAAGGAAAGGTTGTTGGCCCAGAAGCCACTTGTATGCATTTCATGGGGAGTAAAAACAGATTTACAGGGCAAGGGCCCTGAGGCACTGATCCTCAGGCAGAGTCAGGAATTGAGGGGAGTTTGAAACGAGGGGAGTTCTCAGCCTAGAATTCATCCATCGGTCACCATGCCTAGCACACTTGTCTAGCAGCACTGTCCTGCTCTGAAGATGGGAAGGTACACTGACTGTATAGTAGGGCTCACAGCCTCTCATAGGGAAGTCTTTGCATATTTGGGGACCTAGGAAGAGAACTAGGAAAGAACTGAGATAGGTCTGTCCTAGAGGAAGCAAGATTCCAACCTGTTCTGGAACCAAATGACTGGGGAGAGGACAGAGAATAAGGTATTCATTGGGTCCTGAGATGTAGGCAGAAATGTAGAGTAGCAGATAGGAAAGGTTAAGATTAGGAAAGGACTAGGAGTGCATAAGGCAGATGTAGTAGAAACATGAACATTGGGCAGGACATACTTCTTTATTTACAAATGAGGAAACGAAGAGCCAAATTCGGTTCAGTGGTTCAATGAAGATCACCCATTCTGTTAGAGCTCAGGACCCTCAGACCTTGAGTCTGGTTCTCTCATCAACAGCCTACACTGCTTCTGAGACCAAAGGGTTTGAGCAGAAGTGACTGAAGCCAGGACCTTACCTCACAGCCTCGCACTGCCTCCACAGCTAGCAGATCTCTGCCACGGGCCTCTTGTTCCCGGAGCAACTGTATAGCAGCTGCAAGGGCCTGGCGCTCAGAACTCAGCTCAGGCCCAGCTTCCCGCAGGAGCTCCTCCAAGAACCTCCCATAATGAGCCAGCTGCTCCAGTGGCTGCTGCAGAGCCCGGGGCAGGCAGGGTCCACCTTCCATGGAGCCCTAGGGCAGGGAAGACAGATGATGAGGGGAGGGGCTGGAGCCTGTGAGGGCCAAGTTCTGGGGGTAGGCTGGGTCCAAGCTTATGGGTGTAGAGGAAGATCAGATACTGCCAAAGGTAAGGCAAAACCCTTCCCTCTAGAAAGCAAGCAGACAGGGGGCCTGTAGGAGATGCAACCATCCTGTGCATCCAGAAGGGAGAGGGAGAGGAACCCAAGTAATAAACCCATATGCAGGGTTTTAGCTTTTGAAATCACTTTCACATCTTTTGACATGAATTCTTTGGTTCTCAGAGCTCCCTGTGAGTTGGACGGTGAAAACTGCCCTCATCAACAAGTATAGAAAATACCCAACACAAAAAGGACTGGTGGAGTGGTTCAAGTGGTAGAGCACCTGCCTAGCAAGCATTGAGGCCGAGTTCAAACCTCAGTGCTACCAAAATATAATAATAATAATAATAATAATAATAAAGCAGAGGCCTAGAGGAGTCAAGAGTCTTGCCTAAGCTCCCTTAGGTGGGGACCTAGAAAAGAACCCAGCCTCATCTGGCTCCCAGTCCAATTCTGGGAGTTGATATGCTAGGATATTATTGGTAGGAGATATTCCTGAACACATCTAGTTAAACTTTCTTCCTTGAGGGAGTTCAGGGTAGAGTGGGTTTTAGGTCTTTCCTGCTTTTCTTCTCTTCTCATGAGGGTTAGAGAAAATTTTACCTTGGCCGGGGGACTGAGCACAGCTAGACCATTCTCCAGTTTGTGTCGGTGCTTCACGAACTGGGCATAGAGGTTGAACTGGTCCCCCTGCACCAGTAAAGAAGAGGTAAGGCATCCCTGGTGAGGCCTCTGCAGACAAACCGTTCCTTTCCCCTCATCATCCTCACTGCAGCCCAAAGGAGGAACAGGTCACCAGGGAGCATTCAGCCTGCCAGGGAGTGAAGGGTTCCCTGTGGACAGGGTGAAGTCCAGGCAGCACTTGAGGACAAAGGTTAGTAGAGTGAGAGGGACCCAGAGAGCAGGTCTGGGCTCCAGAGTGCTGGACCTCTCATGGAGAAGGGGGGCAGTGAATGTTGAGCAGGGCCAGGTGGATGGAAAGGGAGCGGACTTGGAAGGAATTTTAGAGGGTCACTCACATGGCGAAGGAAGCAGGCCCCGATGCGCAGGGGGTGGGTGGCGCAGCCCTGAAGCTCCCGCAGAAAGTGTGTCCGATGGAAGCTGCGAAGCCTCTCCCGGGCACTCAGGGCAGCGGCCCAGGTGCCCCTAAGCTCAGGAGTCAGCTCAGGCCCGGGTGGCGGTGCCGGCTCACTCAGAATGGTCACATACTCTTGTTCACAGGCAATCAGTTCAGACACCAGACGCTGCTGGGCACTGCAGGGACAATCAGAGCAGCAGAAGTGTCACCTGGGCATGGAATGAAGCCCCTACCCCCAACAATGTCATCTTCTTTAACTGCTGGATAGTTGGGTCTGCCTCTTGGGCATTAATCCAGCTGAGTTCTCACCTGATGCTTCGTTTGCGTTCCATCTGGGGGGTGCCTATTCCCCAGGGGCCATCTGGCCCCCCAGCCCGGCCCAGCAGCACATGTTCCCGTGGTGAGCATGTCCTGTCTACCACCTCGGTACTGGTGACTTCCAGGCCTCGGATCAGCACAGTCCTTGGGGGCCTGCCATTTGCTTCTGGAGCAAGTTCAGGGCCCTCATCCTCGTAATCCTCCCCACATGGGGCTAGGGAACAATGGGATGGGGCTGCCCATGGCCCAGGGCTGGTGGGGAGCAGCAGGGAGCTGAGGCTGGGTGAGGGGCTGTGAGAGCCCCACTGGGTCCCTGCACTGCTGGCACTGTCTGTCCGTTGTCGCCGGTGGCCCCGAGGACTGGCTTCCTCTCCCAGCTGTTGCTGGATCCTCCTTTCCAGCTCTTGGCAGCGAGCCCGGCAGTGACCCCATTCTCGCAGGGCTGCTGGACTGCCCAGGTCCAGGGCCAGGGCCCGCATCTCTTGGAAGGTGCCGGCACTGGGCTCTGGGGCTCGCCGTAGGGCTAGGGCTGCCAGCACGGCCTCACGACCCAGCCCAGCTACTGCTAGCCGAGCGAAGCCCTCATCCACCCACTCATGTGCCTACAAAGCCAAAGGGGATGGAGATGGGAGAGAAAGGGTGAGGACCTGTGCCACCCCCAAATGCATCTGACAACAGCTCTTACTTAGCCTCTTGCCCATGGTTCCTCAATACCTATCACGCTCTATCTTCTTACTGTACCAGCAACGCTGCCTAACCAGGTCACTTAGAGATGGTATGAACGACAGAGGAGCCAGGTATAGTTAGTATTTAGACAGAGAGTGTAAGTGGCAGGCTGGAACTGAGTGCTTTTAGATAGCTTCAGCATCCTTGAGAGGTAGATGCTGATGGAGGCACATTCAGGTTTAGTTCCTGTTGCAGGTCATTCAGCAAGTAGGAGGCCAAACTAACAGTCAAAGCCAAGGAGACTGGCTCCCTAGTCCCTGCTTTCTTCTTTTTAAGGTACTGGGGATGAACCCAGGCAACTGCTCTGCCACTTGAGAGCCACACCCCAGTTCATTTTTTAAACTACTTTCAGTTTATTCAAAATAAAAATACACATAGAATTATGAAAATATAGGTTGATTATTTGCACTAGGTAAGTCAGTGCTACTTTGCAAGGCTTGCAAATTGTTTTTCAAGTATTTGAAGCTGATCTCTGTCCCTTAATAAGTACACCAATATAGTGAATATACATTGGGTATTAATTTATGGAAGTAGCTCTCTGTTTACTTTGATTTTGGGACAGGGTCTCAATACCTTTTTGCCCATGCTGGCCTTGAACTTGTGATCTGAGGATTATAAGTGTGCACCACCATGCCCAGTCACCCCTGCTTTTAATGATTTACCCAATCAGCCCTTCAAGGCTAAAGTGAGGAAATGGCGATACAGAAGGCGGAGGCTCTGTACACACCTGCTGGAAGAAGCGTTGCAGCCGCAGGGCCCGATGGAGGCCACTCTCAACCTGCTCCAGGCGCTGTTCAAAGACATCCACGGCCTTCTGGGAAACAGTGTCCTCCTCCAGAGCCAAGGCCTCCCGGGCCTGGGCCAGGCGCTCCTGGAAAAGGGAGGCTGTGCTCAGGCCTGGGTTTCTCTCCCAGTTAGCCTACTCACAAGCCTCTTTTCCTTCTCACCTGAACTTCAGTGCTGAAAGCCCGGAATCGCAGCTCTGTCTCCTGCAGTGTAGACAGGGATTCCCCAAGCACAGTGAAGCTGGCCAGCTGCTCCTCCCCTGGGCCTGAGAGCCACTGCAACACCTGAAGCAGACGGAGCAGGGAAGCAGGGGCCCATGAAAGAGAAGACCATGAAGTGACCTGAATTTAGCTCCAGCTCTACTACCCCCATCCACAGGGAGGGGTTTAGAGTCAGGGCTAGGCTGAGATGATGAAATGGATAAGTCTGGCGAACCAAAGGCAGGATGTGGGTCAGCTGGGTAACTGAGGGCCAGGAGAAACTTCACACTTACTGTGCCCTGACACTGGACTGCTAGGCAAGGGTCCCAGGCACCAGGCCTGGAGATAACCCAGAGGTGGTTACGTGTGTAAGAATGAATGTGTGGCTGGCTCTGGTTGCCTATTATGAGGTTATAGGAACTCTCATGCTTGCTCTGAGATGTTTGACCAAAAAGAGATGGTAATTTATTTCTCTGAAGAAAAGGGAGAAGCTGGGATGGGGCAGCCTGAGGACAAGAAGTCTGAGAATGTTGCTAACAGTCAGTGCCAACAATAATCACGTTTATAGATTCTTTGCTGATCATCCTAAACAAACAATTAACAAATGTTAATTATTACCATACCCATTATACAGATGACGACTTGGGAACTCAAAGAAGCTTCATAACTTGTCCAATATCTTACAAGTGGCAGAGCTAGAACCCAAGCTAAGCCCTTCAACAGGGTTTTAAGTGGAGAGGGCCAGCTAGTAGGAAAACAAGCAAACAGTAGGAGATGACCCTTGGATACTGGAATAGAGGATTGTTGTTTCTTGCAACAATCCCGAGAAACAAAAAGCCTTGACTCCCCTTTAGCCTTGACCCCAGGTGACCCTTCCCCTGATCCATGAGGTGTGCACTCAACATGCCTGGGGCTAAGGAGGAACATCTAGATTTCAAAGCCCCCTTTACCCTATATGATATGGTGGAGAGCAAATCCTTATGGGGTTCTTAACCCCAGGAGAGAAGAATCAAGGTTCGAAGAAGCCAGTTTTATTCCTGAATCTTTCCCACAATGAGGCCTGTGGTTGCTCTTAGGGGCTTCAAATGTCCTCTCCTTCCAAGGTGAAGTTAGGGCCTTTCCAGCCTCCAGTTTGCCAGTTGAGGTAGCACTTGTGACAGTGTAGCTGAAGAGTCAGTATCAATAGATACCTATTTATGCTAAGGAGATAGGCACTCCAGAGTCAGGCAGCTCTTTCCAGAATCCTCTGGGGGACAGAGCATCTTTGACAATCTCTAGGGATCCCTGATCAAACACAAATAGAGGCAAGATGGGCCTCTCTTCTTTGCTGATGCTGAGAGGCTCCTGCCCTCTTGTTAAATCTCACACTTACTATGACCATCCTGCAGGGGAGGTGAGGAGAGTTCAGTCAGGCTGGAAGAAAACCATTAACGCAAAGCATCAGCAGAGAAGGGGTACCAAGGCCAGGCTCCAGGCTAAGTAGGGGCAGCACGGGGTCCCACTCACCTGCTGGAGTTGGTGCAGGCGTTGCCGCTGCTCCTGCTGCTGCACGTGTAGGTTGGAGAGGCGTACGAGCTGGTGGATGGCCTCATCCACCTCCTGGTATAGCATGGCTGGGCCTGGGCCCTCCAACCTGGGGAAGGAAGGGTGGGAATGAACCTATGACCTTGTCAAGTCCCTCAATTCTGTCTCTGAACCCCCAGCATTGTGGATCAGAGCATGGGCCAGACTCAGACTGTGTGGATTTGAACCCTAACTCCATTTATTGAATTAGATTGCCCAAGATATTTAACATTTCTGATCCTACAAATCATCATTTTGTAGTTGTAACTAGAACACAGGGATATTGTGAAGGCTGTAAGTGCAAAAGCCTGACATTCTGCCCACATATATGTACAGTAAGAAAGCTCTGGCAGCTTGGGTTTGCTGCAGCCCTCTGCCTTCTCACCCTCCCACTCCTAATGCCTCTGCACGCCCAGCTCTCATACTTGCTGCTGTGGGTGGAGCGCAGCCTCATCAGGATGGCTCCTCCATCCCTCTGTAGTGCTGTCAGCCGAGGGTCTGCCAGCACCTTCTGAAGGGGCTCCGGCATTCCCCCCACCTCCTGGGGACAGGGAGCAATAGACTGTTGGGGCTCCACTGGACAGGTCAGTGCCATCCCTATCCCATCCCTCACTGCCCCATCTCTCTTCATACCTCTCCTTCTGGCTCTGCTGCTCCCTCAAGCTCCTCAATGGCTTGCCGTACAGAGCCTAGCACACCTCGGCACAGGCTGCATAGCCTGGCCACTTCCTGAAACCCACAGGCAAAGTGGAGTTGAGGGTCAGGGTTTAGGACAAGGAAGAAAAGCCCTAGGGTGAGGGTGGGGCAACACTGGACACTTTTAAGATAGGAATGCTGGGCTCAGTGACCGACTTGGTTGCTTACTAATTGTATGACACTAATTCAGGTCCAGAAAACCTGCACCTCATTTTCCTTAGCTGTAAAGTTGGAAGTACAAGAGGATTTTGTGAGTTTTAAAGAAATGATACCAGCCCAGCACCTGGCATGGGCCTGGCACATTGTACAGCTTAGTAAATGTGAGTTTCCTTTTCCTCTGTTTGCATTGGGCCTTTATCCTGCCAAACTCTCCTTTCTGCTTTTCGGGCTCACTTCTTTTGATATATAACATAAACTGCTGCAAACCTGCTGCTCATACTGGGCTTGGATTACGTTTATTCCCCTATTCCTGAATACTCACAGCACTTAAACTCATAGGGTCGTGGAAGTGCTGGGCCTTTAGAGATGACAGCACAATTGCTGCACTTTCCAGATGAGGGTCCTGAGGCCCAGATACTGATGTAGGTAGTAGTTATAGAAAAAGTACCATTTCTGGAAGTGAGGTAAAGTAACTTGTCCAAGGCTTCATGGAACAAAAATCAACCTTTCAGTTCTCAGCTTTTTCCAGAAACCTAATATTATCTTACATTCTTCTCTAATAAGTTGTTTCATGACTTAATCTCCCATCAAAACATAGGTTACTTAATGCCATATTAAGAATTTAACATATTCCTCTCATGCCTCCCCAATAGCTTGTTGTGCAATGTACAATATTTTGTTTATGGTTGGTGAGCAATAAATATTTTCAGAATTGAATGGAATGAAAAGCACTTCTTCCCAATCCTATGGTCATGTCTTGAATCTGTCCTCTCCCCTAGAATTCCTCAGCTGGGTCATTCCTGGCTCCCAGGGTCCTGTGTGGTAGAGGGGAAGCTCACCTGATGTATCTCTACCCAATGGCTGGGAGAGGGGTCCCTGTGACCTCCCAAGTTCCACTGTAGCTCCTCTGGCTTGGCAACTCTTTTCAGATCATTCTCTGACAGAAGCTCAGCACCCTGCAGATATGTGAAGGCATAGGGTTTCTGCCTGGGCACCCAGAAATTCATAGAGCAGTCTGGGTCACCAGCCAGCCTCTTTTCCTCTCTCCACTACTGATGATGGACTAGGTAGGAGTGAGTGGCTCAAACCTGAAATCCACAGAGTTCAGTACGAGGGGCACCATGGACGAGAATCAGCAGCCGCTGAATGAGGGGAGGGTCTCCTGAATCCTGAGGGCAGAGAACAGCCCTCATCAGTGGGCACTTGGGTAGCCTAGGAATGGCCACTAGAGTAGAGTGAGGATCTAGGGAAACAGCCTGCCTCAAAGGGATGGTTACCTGAAGTTGACTCAGGACGGGCATGAGTGCTGGAGGCAGTGGGGGCGCCTTGCGAAGGTCGAGCAGGACAGACAGCCCCAGTAACTGTAGATCAGGCCTGTGGGGGAAGGGAGAGCCAAAGAAGATGCAGTGTGTGTACTGGATAGATAGCAGAGAGGTCAGGGCAGAGGCACAGAGTCTGATTTAGTGTTGAGTTGTCAGGACAAGTCAGTGCCTGGTATATCTGGGAAGCAATGGACAAAGGGCCAACATCTGGGATATTTGTCTAAGAGGTGGTGGCCTAGCAATCCAGAACCTATATTCACACGGCTATGGAGTCAAGGGGCTAAGGCCTGGAAAGAATTCTGTGGTTTGGAATGGTACGATCCAATGCCAGCCTGTAGGATGGTGCCTAATAGGTACTTGGTATTGAATGATTGAATCAATGTCCTGATGACCCAGGTCATGTTGTGGGTCATCACTGTTGAGTGTCATTTTGAGGATCAGTGAAGATATCCTGGAAGTTACGGGCCAGTGAGGTCAGAGGTCAGTAGCTTAAAAATCTGAGGGTTGGAGGAGGAGGTATCCTAGAGGTCAGAAGGTCAGTGCCCAAGGAGATTCGGTCCTCATGACTTGGAAGGCTAATCCAGGGTACCAAGGCAGGTGGCAGTTACCTGAGAAGTGCGTGGAGGTAGTGAAGTGCAGCATTCAGAGTGTCTTGGGAGGGTGGGGGCTCCTCGGGAGTGCATGGTGGGGTAATGGTCAGCAGAGCTCGTCCACTCTGGTCCACCCCTCCTGAAGACATAAAATGGCCAGGCTGTCCTGGCTGGGAGCAGTCCTTGGCTACCTCCCTTCCACCCTTGCTTCTTCCTAAGCCCATCTCAACTGCTCCTCTTTCCCCAAGCCCCTTCCCTTTACCCACTGACCAGTCAGAACGAAGAATCCAGATGCCATCAAGTCCCAAGCTACATCAGGGCTGTCAGAGGTGGAGGCTGGAGGGGCCTCTTCTGGGGTGCTGTCTCCTTTTACTTCCTGCACTGTCTCCAGGGGCTGTGTTGGGGGGTCAGACAGGAGTGCCTCTGGGCCTGCAGATCCTGCACAGACACAGATAGAGCTACAGGCTGAAGTGAGGGTGGGTCTGGCTGTTCTGCTCCCGGCCTAACCCTTGCTTCTCCACCCACTTCCCCAGGCCCAACCTGTCCTGGCCCTTGCCCCTGGGCCTCAGTGTCATCTCACCTGCTGTACACGCCAGGCGTGAACCCTCTTGGGGTTCTCTCTCTCTGGCCCCCTCTTCTGAAGGCCCACAGGCTTCTAGGGATCCAGGCTCTTTTTCTTCAGATAGTATGAGCTCCTGTTTTGGCTCAGATTCTGGCTTTTCAGAGCTTTCATTCTCCTTAACCAGGCTGCCTTCTGGAAGCTCATGTTTATTTGGTGAGGGCAGATTGACAAGGGCTTCCTGGTGTCTAGTCTCTTCCTTGTCCTCAGGGCTGAATGGGGCACTGTCTCCTCCTCGGATAAGAGCCCCTCTGCCTGCAGCTCGTTTCTTTCTCCTGTTTCCTTTGCCTGTTCTCCGAGGAGTACCAGGTGGTCCTTCAGCCACCTGGCCTGCTCCTCCCCCAGCCTCCCCTGGCTGAAGGGGGCAAGATTCAGAGGCTTCCCCCAGGGCCTCTGCTGGAGGCTCGGACCCTTCCAGTACTGCTGCCTCCGGGACAGCCTGAGCTCCTGGGGGAGACCCAGTGCTGCTCCCCTCGCCAGGCGGGCGTGCCCCATCCTGGTCCCGAGGTCCCAGGCCCTTCTGGTGCATCCACGCCCGATGTCTCCGGTGCCGACCCTTGCCTCCAGCACTCTTGCGGGTAGGTACTGTCCTGGTCCTGGAGGGACCTGAAGAGCCCTCAGCATCTGTAGGGCTCCCCCTTGCAGGCAGTGTCACCTCCAGTAGCTCCACGTACTCACCCTCTGGTCCTTCTGCAGGAGCATTGTGCCCATCCCCAGGACTCCGGGTGCCTAGCACCTCCTCAGAGAGTGGAGGGCTGGGAAGCCCTGGGGGTCCAGATGGCAGTCCTGGGGGCAGTGTGCCTGGCCGATGTCCAACCATGAGGCCCCCTTTCTGCACAAATCGTGGGCAGATGAGCTCAGCCCAGGGCAGCCGCTGAATCCCAGAGGGTGCAGACAGTAGGCAGGTGCTGAGACGACCTGTTGGCCGGTCCTTGTTGATGCCTTGTAGCCACTCAGGTGTGAATAGGTAGGCACAGGCCTCACTGGGCACAGGCAGCTCCTGCACCCGCCCACCCCCTGGGGCCAGACATTTGAGTGCCAGGCGAGGTGACTGGGCTGCTGAGGGCACCACCTGTAGGTAGAAGTCTCCTGGGCGCAGCAGCTGCCAGGGCAGGGCTGCTAGCTGCACCACCACCTGCTCGTGCAGACAGAGGGGCCAGCCCTCGTGGAAGAACAGGAATCCACTGTACTGGGCCTGAGGAGAGAGGTGGGGGCTGCATTCAGGCTTCTGCTGAAGAAACCAGCGGAGGGGGGTAAGGGAGAATGGGTCTATTTGAGGCCGTCCTGGCCTCATGCCTGGTAGACTTTAACACCAGGGCAGAGGGAAGGGAGATCTTGGGATGTTCATGTAACAGAGGAAGGGATTAGAACCCGTCAGCTTCCTTTGGTAGTTGGAAGCTTCTCTGGGAATCTAGTTCCATGTGTGGGAGGGTAAAAACCCAATCATTACAAAGACCTGGCCAGCAGATGCCAGTGTCTTGGAGGAATCAAAGACTCTTAGTATTGTATCTGTAGAAGTGGAGAGCTCTGCTGAGTCATGGCTGAGAGAGTATCTTGAGACATTCATATGAGTGGGAAATATCTGCAATTGGTTCTGGAAGGCCAGGGTCTTCTTGGGGATTGTTTGTTAGGGGTCAATATTTCAAAGAATATGAGTGTGCATGTAGCTGTTAATATGATGCTCAGTACCTCTGAGGGTCACATTCTGTGGGAGCTCAGCAAGCAAGGCTTAAGTGACCCTGTGGGTATCAGTATAGGGGAGGCTACTTCTCTGGGTAGGAGCCTAGCTCGGCTAAAGTGGGGCGGTGATTCTTACTTAGGGGAGGCAAAACAGGGATGAACATGGTTGGTGGAGTGGCTCAAGTGCTAAGAGTGCCTGCTTAGCAAGCATGAGACCGTGAGTTCAAACTCCAGTGCCTCAAAAACAAAAGAAAACAGGGATGCACAGCCACTCACACAGGCTTCCTGCTGGACCTTGGCAAGCAGGTGCTTGGCTGGTACCAGGAAGTCCAGCGTGTACCTCAGCGCATCCTCCCGATAAGTCCTCTCCACCACCTGGAACACCTGGCCCAACAGGGTGGGGGCTGTGGCTTCAAAGGGCGGGTATAAGGCAGCGAGTGTGCTCTGCACACAGTCCTCCACTGGCTCAGGCTCCTGGGAGAGACAATACCAGGTTATGGACCCCTGGAGATTACACAAGTGTGGCTCCTTGGGCACTTCATTGTGTTGAGGCAGCTAATGCTCCCAGAGCCCCCATCACGTGTGCAGAAAATGTGTGCACTCAGGAAATGCTGGCTGAATGAGCCCAGGATGGGGGTGAGGTTGGGCCATCACAGCCAACAGGCCTAGCAGGGCTCCACATTCAAGCTCCAAGACCTTGGCTTTGGAATTCCAAGGAGAATTTCACTGCCTTGGATCAGAGCTATTCTTGGTGTTTGTGCATTGGAGTGACTGCATAGCCCTCTTCAGGAGACAAGAGACAGGCTCCTGGGTCATCAGGGGACTGGAGGAGAACTGAAGGGTGGGCTGTGGGGTAGGAGGCTTCCACACAGCCATCCTGCAAATCGTTTCTCCCAGTGCCCCAATCCATAGAGCCCCCATCTCAAGTAGAGTTACCACAAACCACAAACAACTGCGTCCTAGAGATGGACCATGGATGGGAAGGAGGATAGAATCTTTATAGCAGTCTTGAAGCAACCACTCATTCCCAGAGCCTATGGGATTGAGTTACAAAGAATTGGGTGGGGGCATTTAAAAGAGGAAAAAGGCACAAAGGGAACTTGTGGGGAAGGGAGGAGGAGGCCCTGATGGTATGCATTCCTCTGAAATCTTTTCTCATTCCATAGGGACCTCTCTCTGCCAGTTTCGACCTGGAGCCCAGCTTCATCCAGACCCGCCTCCCTAAGTAAATCAATGGGGTATCATTCTCCATCCCACACCCTAAGCACAGTCCCTTGGGCTATTTGCAAGCTTACTTCTCTTTCAAGATGGACTCCGAAGTTCCTTTTATCAGATTTCTTTGCTGTAAATGGGCATGAGGGTACTCAAAGCTGCATTTACCTAGCCCTCTGCCTGTCCTCATCCCACCGCCTGCATTTCCTGCTTTTGCTCCAAGACAAAGTTGCATATTTTATTAAGTCCCTCTAGCCAGAGTTGTTCGCGGACCCGGCGGTCTGAGAAGTTAGGGCAACCACTCCAGAGACGGACATTCAGTGCGTCAGCGCGCACACTCCGCCCCAAGGTGTGTGGGCGAGCAGACAGACCCCCAGTGTTCCAGGGAACCGGCGGGTGTTGTGCTCGGGGGAGAGGGGCAGGGGTGAGGCTGAGTGGGCCTCCAATCCAAGGCGGGGAGGGGGGAGTTAGAGCCTGAGCAGCGAGGCAGCTGCAACCCATTAGGGGCGGTGAGCTCATGGCTGAGCCAGAGTCTCAGCCACAGGAAACAGCAGCGGCAGGAGGGGAGGAGGGGTCTGGAGCGGGCGCCGGCGGCCGGGAGCCCAGACCAGGCCTCCAGACGGCCCGGACCAACGAGGACACCAGAGAGACTGAGTCAGCTGTCCCTGGCTCGGTTCCTCTTTCTTCTTGCTCCAACCTCCTTACCAGGGGGTGTCTTTCCCTCCGCAGAGGAGCAGACCCCTTAGCGCTTTGGCCCCTCCTCCACTCCCTGCAGTGAGCGCCCCCGGCAGGGCCTCTCCCCCCTCCTCTATTCTGCAGCGAGCGCCCCCTTGGCTGCGCCCCCCGTGCAGTGGGTACTCTTGCAGTGTTCTTAGGAGTACTTCTAGGCTGGAAGTTTCCAGGAAAAGTGTTCTCTCCTGTTGATGTGGGCTTCCAGTGCTGCTCCAGAGGCCTCTACCTCACTCGGAGTGCTCCTGTCCGTTCTCCCCCTTTTCTGCAGCGGGAGTGCTCTGAAGCAGTGCTCTGTTCCCTGCAACGTGAGCCCCGGGCAACTCCCCATGCCCACAGTCTCTGGTCTGCTCAGGCAGGTCACGCCCCCTGGTACTGTGAGCCCCCCACTCCCAGCCACTACTCTGAAGCAGCGCCTTTTTCTCCGAGGGAATTTACCTCTTCGACCATGCTCCTGGCCCTGGCCCAGCCACAGCTGTGGCTGGTCCCCCAGGGCCGGATGGGTGGGCCCGCCTCACGGGGTTGGGGACTGGGATGGAAAATGGTGGTTCCAGGCAGGTCAGTTCTCATGACCCAAGGCAGTGCCCCTTCTAGGGCTGCTGTAAGAGCAACCCACTGAGGTCTCCTGAGGGTAAGAACTGGGGTTGGGAGGGGGAGGGAAGACCCTGCAAAGGCAGGCACCGGTCCGGACAGGAGGGAGGAGGGAGATGTGTGGATTAGGGGAAAGACCAACGGGAGGATGAGAAGGGGGCAGGGGAAGAGGGGAAGAAGGGTAAGAGTAATGGTGTGGACAGGGCTAGCCAGTGAGCAGACAGATCGAAGAAAGGGGGGGATGGGAAGGAGAGTCCCTCGAGCGCAAGGCTGGCGCAGGAGGTACAGGACTGGGGGCTGGTGGCCCGGAGCGAGTTGCGCGAAGGCCGAGGGGACATGGGGTGCGACGCGGGACTCACCATGGCTCGGCGCCGGGCCGCGTCCGACGCTCGGGCGGGCGGGGCCGAGCGCGCCACCGCCTCCCTCCCGCCGCTCGAGTCTCGCCGGGTCTGGCTAGGGGACAGCTCCGGCCGCGGTGGCTGCTCGGCCCGCTCGGCTCCCAGGCCGCGGGGCCCCGCCAGGGAGGGCCGAGACGGCCGCCCCTCCCCGCCCCGCCCTTCAGCGCCCGCCCCCGCCTCCACGCGGGACCCCTTGCAGAGGCTCCCTCTCGCCCTCAGGCTCTCCACTGCTCCCGCACACGTCCCCAGCCAATCCGCCCGCTCTCCTGAAGCCCTCTAACTTCTCCGCCCCGCCCTCCAGTGGGCAGCCCAGACCCGGACCCACGAGGCCCGCCCCGCGGAGGACTCCCCTCTTTTCCCGCCATCGCCTTGTTCTCTGTGGGATCAATTTAGCTTCTGCATGGGCCACTCCAAAGGCGGGGCGTGCGTGAATTTCCTGGGGTTCCCTGTCTAGGACTGGGGCTGGCCGGCGGCGGGAAGCCTTGTGCGTAACTTGCCTAAGACTCTTCTACCCTCGATTGCCAGACTTTGGAAGGACGTGGGGCTCACAAGAGACGCCCAGGGCCTTGTCCTCCTAGGGTAGAGACGAGGGCCGAGGGCCGGGAAATCTAGGGATACCCCCAGGTCAAGGGGGCTTGCCCGCCCTTCTTGTCTAACATCTCCTCAGGCCTCCAGCCTCCGGGCTACTACAATGGGCTCCTCTGTGCTGCCTAGGGAAGGCGGGGGTGTGGAGCGGAATTACAGAGTGGTGAAGGCTTGGGGCGCCGCCAGGACAGTGCCAGAAGGAGCTAGGGTCCCCGGATCAGGGTCCTTCTGTAGGGTTATGCACTTCGACGGACGATTACACGTGTACTGAGTTCTCGATGGTTCTTCCCCCATCGCATCCCCTCTCTCTCTCTTCAGCTAGAAAGGAAGGCACAAGCTACCCGGTCAAACCCCACAATTCGGTACTGGATGCCAGACCCTTCCTTCTTGTGCAGTGGCTCCTGGTGATGGGGACGAGTATCTAACATAGTAGATAAGTAGACAGAGGGTAGTAAGTAGTAAAGAAAGTTTTGGCCTCACCCCCTACCTCCATCCCATCACCAAACCTCGAGCATCCTCCACGGGTTCTGGAGGGGAAATGAAGGCCTGGTGGGTGTCTCCCACCAGGGAGGCATTGGCACAGCAGAGGAACGCCTCGCCCCTCTGAACCTGCACCCGGAAGCCCGGTAGCACGGTGGCCCTTACAAAGGGTTGACATTCTAGAACAGATTGGAAAGCCAACTAGTCCCCAGAGAGGGGCTTGAAGGCTTGTGTCACTGCAGTGACGTTAACGTCTGGCTGTGAACCCAAGTCCTACGAGGCTGGGAGGCGGAGCCTCTGGACAGTTGTTGGAACATCGGGAGGGAAGGCAAGGTTGTCTACCAAGGTGACAGGCTTTTCTCTCACCTTCTCAGGACGCTAAACTCCACCTTTTCTCCTCTCTGCTGGATCTGGAAAAGGAGAGAAACTTCATTCTTTTCGGAGGTGAGAAGAGCCCTCTGCTTCACAGTGTCAAAAAAGAATTTAGGGCTGGAGGTGTAACTCAAGTGATAGAGTGCCTACCTAGCAAGGGCAAAACCCTAAGTTCAAACTCCAGTACTGCCCTCAAAATAAAGAAGAAGAAAAGAATCTAGGCCAGCAAAACCCCAGTGACCATCTTGCCAGCAGTTAGAACTGGAGAGATGGACCTCTTTCCTACCAGACAGCTTCCTTCTAACTAGTGCTCAGGAGCCAAGAGAGTGAGATTTTGCTACCCCCTGGTGTCAATTCAGGAAATACTGCCTGGGAGCCAGTTGAAGAAGCCAGCACTTAAGGAAACTTACTCAGGATATTTTATGAACCTTATTCACCATCTATCTCAAACCCAGCTCAACCGTTCTCCATCTTTAGACAGTGTGGGCCTTTCCTTACTAAGTCTTGTATTCCTTATACTCAAATCTGTGCTAAATTACAAAGGTTTAAGTAGGTGACATGCCTACAGTGGTTAAATACCACTTTCTCCAGAGAAAGCAGCTCTTACCTAAAAGTGTGCTTATGTATTGAGGGGTGTAGGAGGGGTGCAGGGGATCTGAAGGAGTAAGGTTATAATGGAGAAATTAGAGGTTGGGAAGAGATAAGGCTTAGAGACCCTCTCCCACATTCACAAACACTTCATACTATATTTTACCAATTTCAGATTCTTTGGAGCTTATCAAGTTTCCATTTTATGGAAGAAATTCTGGCTTATTGAAGTTAAGTAACTTTATCTAACCTTTACAGTAAGTGGAGAAGCCAGGACTTGGGTCCAGGCAGTCTGATTCCAGAATCTTCACTCTGAACCATTAGGATATAGGGCTTTATTTAAGCTGTCAAAGTTTATAAAAGAACTCTGAACATTAAATCATCACCATGTCTACCACCTAACCATCACATGAAAAAATGTTAACTTTATTTTTGTAATAATAATGCTAAAATGTCCTGTGATTTGGAGAAGAAAACCCTCTTTTTTTTTTTTTTTTTAGATTTGCTCTAGCTGGAGAAGTGGCTCAAGTGGTAGAAGCATCTACCTAGCAAGTGTGAGGCTTGCTGAATTCAAACCCCAGTACCAACAAATGTGTATATATATATATATTTTTTTTTTCCCCTAGAGTAAGTAATAGTTAAAATAATTTCCAAGAGGCTTCCTGTATGTAATGTTATGCCTGTATTATTCTACATGGGGAAGGTAGAAGAAATGTCTGTGTGTGTGTGTTTGTTGAGACTTTAGCCATGGTGTATAGGATTGAGACTTTAGGCTGCTCACTGTCTATCCAACCTGGAAATAGCAGTGACTGGTGCTCTGCTTCAGTTCTGTGCCTCAAGCTAAGGGCAAATTAATGAAGGATGCTTAAAGGGTAATTTTCAAGGCAGACAAAAGAATATGTTCTTGTTAGCTGTGCCTTCCAAGGAAACTGAAGGCAAAACCTTGATTACTTTAGGATAAGAAAGCTGCAGATTATAAATATATGTCAGTTCTATTTTTTTGGTATAATTTCCATTAGTTTTGGTTTTGATTGATAATATTTCTTTAAAGGGTTATAGCTTGTCTTCTCTGAATTAGGTATCATCACAATCCACACCACCATCATCTTGTCTTTGCTAGTGCACTGCTTTTCATACTGGTCTCCCATCTCTACCCTGAGCCCTTGATAAGCCATGCTCTGCACCACAGCCAGAGTGAAGTTAAAAACAAACAAACAAACAAACAAACAACTGAATCAGGGGACTGGGAATATAGCTCAGTGGTAGAGCATTTGCCTATCATGTGCAAGGCCATGGGTTTGATCTCCAGCACTGCAAAAAAATGAATTAGTTAAATAAAAATCCAACTTAGACCTTACCACCCCTTCCAATGGCTTCTCATTTGCCAACTGTGTATGTGGTACTGGGATTTGAACTCAGGGCTTCACACTTGCTAGGCAGGCACTTTACAGCTTGAGCCACTCTACCAGCCCATGGCATTTTATTTGCATCCCAACCTTTTCTGTCTTTCTCCAGTTATACCTTTGATGTGGTAAGCCACTAGTGACCCTCCAGCCATTGTGACTTTACGGTTCTTTAAACATGTCTTGGTTACCCCTAATCCAGCACCTTTTTGTTCTCTTTCCCTTCTGCTTGGAGCCTTATTTTCACGTTGGTTTAGACACTCATCCTTCCAGTCTATTCTAAAATGTTGCCATCTCAAAGTCTTCCTGTACCTAAAGTGGTTTCTCACTCTAATCTTTTTTTTGTTTTTTTTGAAACAGGATCTCACTGTTGAGGCCCAGGCTGGCCTCAATCTCACAATCTTCCTGCCCCAGCCTCCTGAGTGCTGGGATTACAAGTGTGCACCACCACGCCTACTTACTCCCTCTGTTTTAATTACTTATACTGTTCATCTCTATTTGATTATGTATTTATTTATTTTCTATCTCTCGTGATAGAGCCACTCCCTGCTACATGTAGCCTAAAAAACTTTCTGAGGTCAGGAACAGTGTCTATTTTGTTACTGATCTTTCCTAGCTAGTGTCTGACCAAGTTTTCAAAGATATTATCAACCCAGGTACAAACTGTAAGGGGAGCAAAAAGCCCCACAGAGCAGGAATGGTGGTGGGAACAGTAAGATGGGCAACTGGGCAGGAGTGGGAGTTGAAGGCTTTGGGGTCAGCTGAATGGCTTTCCTACCTAAGAAGAAACAGGTTTTCTTTTCCCTTGGACAGTGTTTGCAAACAGAAGCTAACACAGGACAGAATTAAAAATAAAAAGGATTTATCTTCTGGATCCTGTGTTATTAAAGTCTAGAGGATGCATGGCTTAGAGAGGTACTTCTGGAAAGACTCCAAATTCAGTTAGGGACTTAGTTGATATATGAACACAGAAGTTCTTTTTTTATAGGTACAATTAATTTGAAAATATACTTTTATGTTCTGTTTCTTCCAGCAGCATTGCTCATACACATTTCTATTTATCAAGATAATTTTTTAGCCAGGTGTAGTGGTTCACACATATAATCCCAGCACTTGGGAGGCTAAGGCAGGAGGATTTCAAGTTAGAGGCCAGTCTAGCCTATACCTACTTCTGTCTCAAAAAAAAGGGGGCGGGGGGCTGGTAGAGTGGCTCAAGTGGCACAAGTGGCAGAGTCCTTGCCTGGGAAGTGTGAAGCCTTGAGTTCAAACCCCAGTAATAAGCTGGGCACCAGTGGCTCATGCCTATAATCCTAGCTACTCAGGAGGCAGAGATCAGGAGGATTTGTGGTTTGAAGCCAACCATAGACAGATAGTTCATGAGACCCTATCTCAAATAAAACCCATCACAAAAAAGTGCTGATGGAGTGGGTCAAGGTGAAGGCCCTGAGTTCAAACCCCAGTACAGCAAAAAAAAAAAAAAAAACCCAAAACAAAACAAAAACAGAAACAAACAAAAAAGATAATTTTTCCGTGCACTGCCTTCAGTGAAAGCATCACGCAGTCACCTATCATTTGTGTAGTTGCTTTCAATTTCAGGGAATGTGTATTATTTTCATTTTTTCTCTATTATGAGAAGAAAGGTATAAGCAGATTTGTACGTTTGCT